AAAGGCATCTGCCAGAGATGACCTGAAAAAGTATTTCCACTTCCTTATTCAGCTCTACACAATGTGCAACAAGTTTTACAATGTAATTTAAATTTCTGTAACCAAAATAATAATGATAATAATGATAACGATGACTCTGAGTAGCAGCAATTCCGCTACATGCGACCCCCCACCCCCACCCCATCCTCCCTTAATGGTTACAACAGAAGCAGCAGGGCTGGCCCCACAAACCCGAATCTTTCTCACCATCTCTTACACCCCTTTATGGGCGGGGACCCAGCACGAGCCTTTAGGAGCGCCCCAAGCTCCGCCTCCTGCGGCTCTCAAGTGAGGAAGCACAGCGCCGGAGGCCAGCCCCAAAGTCCCCGCGGCCCCACGCTGGCTGGAAACAACCCCGTGCGACACAACGGCGGCCTACGCTGCTGCGCCCGCAGGGGCCAGGCTGCCCGGGAGGCCTCCGGCCCGCAGCACCTTAGCCTTACCCGCAGGAGCACAGGTCGCAGAGGCACGTCCTCCTGGAGGGCGCCATGGTCCCTCCGAGCGCGCGAGGCCCCGCCGCCGGCCGGCTGGGCGTGCTTGCTGCAGACACCGCCTGGGCAGCGCCTTGCGAGGCCCGCTGTCCGCTCCCTCCCGAGGCCCGTGGGCAGCGAGCAGCGCGAGCGTGCACGGCGCCGGCCTGGCCACCCCGCTGCACCCAGGGCTACTTCTCGGGCCGCAACCGCCCGGCCCTGGAAGCGCCGTCCACCCAGGCCCAGGGCTCCTCTGTGACGTCTCCCGGGCCAGGAGGGGCGCACGCGGAATAGCTGCGGCGTCACAAGGGCGACTTGTGAGGCGCGAAGCTGCGGGGACTGAACAGGCCCACCACAGGCTTCCTTACCCATCCAGGAAGACACCAGGAGGACATGTTGGGCTAGAGTGGAAAGTGCCTGCTTGCAAACCTGCAACATACCAGGGCCACGCATGCAGAAGAGGACAGCCTCCGCGGCCAGCATGCTTGGGGCTTTCTAGCTCTGGGATCCGGGAGCCTGTCTATGGAAAGACATCACTTTGGCTTCCAGAAATCTGGCCTTGACAGCCAGTTCCAGATCTTCAGGCAGAAATCTGTGTCTGGCTTCCAGGCTGTGTCAGAATCAGCTATTCCGGCTCAGGTGGGTGAAGTCTCTTCCCGGGGGGCCTCTAAGCAGAGCATCGCCAAGATTAGTGGGCATCAGAACCACATGGCCCGTCAGAACCAGGTGGCCAGCCCTCGCCTCCAGGTTTCTGCTTCCGGAGGTCTGGGGTGGCTGAGAATGTGCCTTTCTTCCAAGTCCTCAAGTAAAGCTCCCGGGCCAGAGACCTCGCCTTGAGGACCACACTTTCAGAAATTCCTTCAAGCCCGCGGGCCAGCCTTCCAGGATCACGTGGTTCCGCTTCCCTGGTCCTCTGTGCCACTACAGAGCACAGCTAGGTGATTCTGCTCACGAAGCAGAGGCAAGACACGCAGCTCGCAGGGGAATGTTCGCGACTTCTTGTGTGTCAGAAATTCGAGCTTAGAGTCCTGACCATCTTTCTGCTCAGTTTTCTTGCCAACGCTTCCAATTCCTTTCAGTAATTTTAGTGAAGGAGTCAAGAGGCATCTTGGGGGCCGGGGAGATGGCTTAGGAGCTGGGGAGATGGCTCAGTGGAATAAGCACTTCCCTAGCAAGTGCAAGGGTCTGAG